AACATTCCATCCTTTTCTCTGCTCTAGGACCTTACTGACAACCTACCAGTGGAAATACTGAAGTCAGGGGTTTTGTGCTTTTTTAAAAGGCAGATAAGCATTGCAGCAGAACATTGCAACAATGCTGTCATTTGAGGATGTTCTGAAGGGTAAACTATCCATCTAAACTCTTCCTTGGAGTCTCTCCCAGAGAAAATATAATTCTGCTCCATGGCATGGAAGAGAACATATCTGAGGCACTCCAAGGGCACAGACTCTCCAAGCATGAATAAGGACACTGAGCTGCAGGATTGAAAGCCATCACAAAACTAGAAAAAGGTCAACACTTGTCATAGAAAGACAACAATTTTACTACAAAAGCAAAAGTCTACGAAACAGAAAAGTGGAAGAAACAGACCACAACTACTAATAACACACAGTAAAAGTTTACCAGAAAAATAACACCATTTTGTTTGGGAAAGAATGTAGCATCATCAAAGACAAAAGATAAGCAAAAAATAGAAGAAAACAATATATTTAAATACTTTTAATTAAGAGACTGTCTGACTTTAAAATCGTCATTCATATTTAGATTAGCTAAAATGAAATATTTTCATGATCTACACTGATAAACAAGTTGGTCTGCTAAGATTTTTCCTTTTTTACCTTTGAAATTACTGAGGTTTTAAAATATTAGAAGTAAATACTAATGTCTTCTCTCTGAATGTCATCTATCTATACAGGGACTTTACTTCTTGGTGTATAACGTAACTCCTAATTCCCTGATAAGGATGATGGCATCATTTCATGAGACATTACTGCCCTAGTTTTCTTAATTGCTGTATTAAATCTTTTTGGTAATTTTCTGACCAATGGATATATCTGTTGAACTAGTTATAAAGGCCTTTTTCATACACCTACTGTCACCTTAAACAAAAAGGCCTGACAGGTGATAATGATGTTGAAAACAAAGTTTGAAGTTTTATAATTGGCTGGAAGTTGATACTTGATTTTTCTCCCACAAGAGCACAAGAGCTCCTTATTAAAACATAATAAAAGGTAAGGGTGAGTTCTTTGCTAGGTACAGTGCAATACAATGACAAATCAAATAGTTGTTCAAACAGATCAGATTTAGGGAGGCCAATGGCCAAATCAAACAGTGAGGGTTGCTGACATGTATGGGAACAGCAGATTATCACGCCACTAGGGACATCAGATTCAGATTCTTGCACTCATTTCTGCATCTGGGAAGAGCTAGTATGCCAGCTAATTTATTGTAGCTATAACTTCCCTTATTGCAATGCTGCAACACCTTTGTTTAGAGTATATAAGTTAGCAGAGACAAAGCTGTTCACTTCTCACAGGAAAAAGGCTAGTAAAAGTGAAAGGACAAACTCATTACAGTGTTGTATATACAATATTACAACCACTTCAGCTGCTTCAATTTCAGGTGTCTGGTGAGCATTTTACATGTTGTCCATAAAAATCAGCCTCGTAACAGCACTGGAAGCTACCATTAAATCAATGGAATGTGTACTAGCAGCTATCAAATCTATGATGTTCTGTAGTACCTTACAGGCAGGGAACGTGAAGCACACATCACACACAGCCCCATGGCAGGGGGATTGGACTAGATGATCTTTAAAAGTCCCTTCCAACCCAAATCATTTTATGATTCTGTGATTGTACTAAAAAAAAAAAAAAAAAAAAAAAAAAGTTGGTTTGTAGAACAGGTTGCATGATGTAGGTGCTACTACCCTGTACAGCTGTGCCTGCCAAGACGTTAGGCAAAGCATCTAAACTTTTGCAACTGTATGTATTTTTTCCCACCTTTCATCGAGCTTCCCTGTTTGGATAACAGGCTATAAGAGACAGGGCTCTCTTGCATACCTTCTGAACAAATAGTAGGTCAAGGTAGACTCATATTACTCAGATATTACTATTAAAAATGTATGCACTTGGCCACAATATAGGGGAAGGAGATTAGAGAGAGCGAGACATCAAAAGCTCTACTCTAGGAACAAAAGAGTGTATTTCAAACAAGGGCAATCTCATTATGCCATCAGGTCTGCATATGTAATGTAGCTTAACCACTTCAGTATGTGGTACACCTGTAGTGCAACTGTGTACATGCAAACAAAAGAATATGTGAAATTGCAGAACAGATGACACTGGATTATCATGCAGACTGCCACTATGAAGATGTCAATTACATCTGTTTTATTTATTTTCTCACATAAAATTCTATTCCTGCATAGTAGTAGCTAGTTTAGTGCCTATCTTCATGGTAGCATAGTTATGAGGGGGGTTTTGTGTTTACTGATTAGCCTATTTCATTGTTGAATTTCATCTTCCATTTTATTATGTAGTGTTTTCTGCCATAAGATCTTCTGAACCTTTAGTTTCAACTGTTCAGACTGAGTCTTTATCATCAGCATACTCTACCTCAATCCTTACACCACCTTTTCAAAATTCTTTCTGAAGATGCTGAATGCAGGTCTGAGCACAGATCCCTGTGCAATGCCATCAGGATTTTTCCATTCTAAAAAAAAAAAAGGCCATTTATTCCTATCTTTTGACTTCAGACTATTGATTAGTCTAGTGGAAGGCAACAAAGACCATTAAGGGACTGGATCATCTCTCTTACGAGGAAAGGCTGGGGGAGTTGCGCCTGTTCAGCCTTGAGAAGAGATGACTGAGAGGGGGCCTTATCAATGTCTATAAGTATCTGAAGGGAGGGTGTCAAGTCAGGCTCTTCTCATGGTGCCAAGCAACAGGACAAGAGGCAACAGGCAGAAACTGATGCACAGGAAGTTCCACCTGAATATGAGGAAGAACTTTACTGTGCACTGGAACAGATTGTTCAGAGAGGTTATGGAGTCTCCCTCTCTAGAGGTATCCAAGAACCATTTGGATGCAATCCTGTGCCATGTGCTCTGGGATTACCCTGCTTGAGCAGGAAGGTTGCACCAGAGGATCCACTGCTGGTCCCTTCCAACCTGAACCATTTGGTGATTCTGTGAATTCATGTCTCAAAGAATCCTCATTTTCATCCTATGAGAAACTAGTCTCTAAAAAATATATGTTGAAATCCTTCTTGAAAAAATCTTTAAGGTAAAATACACACACATTGACCTGACTATCCTTATCCATGTATTTATTGTCTTTGGAATAACTCAGAAGATTGATCATGCATGAATTTCTTCTTTTATTAAAAAAAAAGGGAGGGGGCATCCAACCCTTCCTCAACTGTAATTTCTCTTTATTATAATTTATATGAATTTCCTTCATATGTAAATCAGACATAATGGTCTGTTCCTGTCAAATTCAGCCATTAAGTCCTTTTAAAATGTTTGGTTATACTGCCATCTTCCATTCCTCTGATTCTAGGATTGCACATCACATAGTTCATCAGTTCTGTGTTTTAGTTCCCTCAAAGCTCTTGGGCATCTGCCATATGATCCCATCCATTGTTTCTTTTTCTTTTTTTTCCCCCTAAAAATACTCCAAACATTTCACAGTCAAAAATTAGCCCACAGATACATCATCTGTTCCAGATATAATTATGCCATGCCTAATTTGTAATAAAGAGTCCTTTAATATAGATCATGAAAGTTTTGCAAATAGTAAAGAAGAAAGAAAAATTATGAACAAATTTGGCTATACTTTCTCACGTTTGCTGAGTGTGGGGAAAAAATAGAGCTTGAAAAGCTGAAAAAAAGTCTGAGAAGTCCTAAAAGCCATCTATGTAGGCAGTATTTTCATCACTTTTGTCACGTTCACCTGAAGAATGGCCCATTGGCAGTGTGCCACATGCCTTAATTATCTGCCTGCCAACTTTATTCTCAGATGACAAATGCTCCCCGTGGTTTGTTTCCAGGTAGGTTTTTTCTTACACAGTAGAGTGGCAGGTGACATTTGATTGTAAAAGCAAAACATTCCAGGATCGCACTAAAGTTTGAAAAAGCAGCATGGATTTGTTTGAATGGATAGCATAAGAATTAAAAAATGACAAGCCACCTCTCCACCCCATCATACAGGCAAGAAGATTTTACAGGTAAAGTAATCCCTGGTTTTTACATCTTAGTGGAGGAAGATTTGTACAAAGGTTCATAAACCTCTGAGTAAGAGCTCTTTTATATGATACATGCCCAGAGTTTGCTCTGAGGTATTATTATCTTTACCAAACCTCTCTTCTTTTTTTCTTTTTAAACAAACTCAACAATCTGGAACCACTTTATTTTATTTCACAGTTGTGAATACTCTTCTAAAGCATACATGAAATAAACTATTTGCAGTAGTCCTTGTTGAGAAACTGTATTTTTCATTTTAAGTTTAGATAGTTAGGAAAAGGACTATTCTTCTCAACATATTACTGTAACTGAGAAGACAGACTCTTTGCCTTAAAAATAGCACCAATGATAATAAACAATAGTGGGTTTAGTAATAGAATATATTTCAAATGTCAGTAATGGTATTTTTAAACAAAAAAGGCTAGCAATGTACTGTAAATGTGTGTTGTGAGGAACATTGGCATGTAGCTGCCAGACAATCTCAATGAATGATTTCATTGTTGAATTATGAAATCATTGTGTTTGATATTATTATACACATACAATCCAGATCTGATGCAGATCACATTCAAGAAGAATTCCAAGCAGCCAGAGGTCATCACTGACCTCTGCCAAGGAGGGTTTACAGATAATTATTAAATAAATTTATAGATTATACCTAGTTTGAACAGATTCTATAGCGTTATTCTTTGCTCATTGCGATGAAAGCAAGGTTGAAGTAGAACAGAGATCATTGGTTTTTATTTTTCTCTAAACCATATAGATATGCAAGAACACACCCCTTTACCGTTCTCAAAGAGCTAAGCACAAAACGTCATTTTCCTTCACATCTGTTCCTACACTTGTTTTCTTAATGTTTCTATAGATCAACTCCCAGTGTTCAAAATACTTGTCCTTTCATGGAAACTTTTACTTGGACACACAAAAATGTATGAACAATCCTCTTACCTTTAGCAGGTAAGTTTGGCAGTCACTGACATAATCATATTCCAGTCCATCAAAGGTATAATAATGTCGATCTCCATAAATAGTGCATACAGCGGGACAGGGGTAACTGGTGCAATTGAATATGCCTCTCCGACAAACACTGTAGGGAAAACTAATAATCAGTATCTTCTCATAACAGGATTATTTTCTGTACATTTTCAAGAAAAAAACTTTTTTAGGTTCTTTATTTCAAGTCCTGCAGAAATTCATGAACGGAAGAAAAATCTTGAAACAGAGAGCTATTCTGTGGATTGCTTCTGAAGTTATTAGCAATGCCATGGCAAAAAAATGTTGAACATTTTGCCATCAGCCCATATCTACAGTAAATGTGCATAAGAAATAAATGCAAAACCTCAAACTTTTCGTGGTTTATGGAAATATTTCCATCACTGCCTCCACTATAGATAAGACACCATGACACAACACACTCGTTCATAAAACATGGATATTGCATTTTTTCTCAAGGCATTTTGATAAAGGTCTGCACATATTCAAAGCAAAATACCTCCAGCTGCTATCTGCAAGATTTTAGGTTATCAGACAAGTATGGAATGAGTTTAAGAAATTAATGCTGATATTTTGCAGGAATACTTTTCCTGTCAGCTACTTTCAATGGTTTACACAAATTTGTATGAAGGTAGTATTGGTATCCGCTACTTTTGCTTGTGTAAGTGTAAATGCTCATTTGATTTGCCAATGCAGTTTTTAACTGATTGAAAGCTGCCAAGCCAATCTTTTTTTTCATTATTAAATGTATACTTAACTGAATATAGATATTTTGGCTAGCAAATTATAATTAATGAAAAACTGTTTTGTTTCAGTATGTGTCAGGTAAAGCTCCTTAAAAAGATGCTGTGTGCTAGCTCATTTTTAAATTCTAATGGTCTTTTTCTTTTTTTTTTTTTTTTTTAGTTGCTCATCTTCTTCCTATACAGTCACTCATGGTAACTGGTAACTTACACTGCAAAGAGTCCAGCTGCCAAAGAAGCAGACTATTTACTACTGTCCTACATTTAATCTCTCTTTTTTTCTGCTTGGTTACCTTTCATGATATTCTATTCTCCAGAAGCCAAATGTCTTTTATTTCAGAGATTAAATAATATGTGTGGAATTAAGTATTTGGGTTTGATTGCTTCTTAACTTGGTTATCTTCAGCTTACTTTTCAGATCTGAAGAAGCACTCCCCCCAAGGTCTTCCTACTTATCCAAGTCTTTTAGTGAGCCTAATAAAAGATATATCCTGTAACTGAGTACAAACAAGCATATTTTTGATTTAAAAGTATTCAACAAATTTTCTGTTTCAGTTTGACTTTGGGTCTAAGAGATCCAGATGATTTGGAAGTATGCAAGATGAATGCCACTCACCAGGTATAGCATGGTGTAGCTATCACTTCTCCTGACAGAAATTCCCTGTCTTTCCAGGTGCATGGACAACTGTCAGGAATATAACATTTCCCTCTATGCTCAGCCATCCTTTAAAATGAAAGAATTAGGAAGACAAAAGAGTAAATTCACAAGCATATCAACATAACTGAATATGTACCGTATTGTCTAAACCCCACTAAGGGCAGCCTATCTTCCATCCAGCCAAGGACAATTGTTTCCTCAGCAAAAGTTTTCCACATCAAATGATCTCCACTTTGCACAGCTGAAGACCTCACCAGGTCCTTCTATCGTTCTGTCCAGAAAGGGGTATGTCATTGTGGGGCAGCAGCTCCCATGCAGGAGCCCAGGTAATGTAGGTACTCCTCCCTGCAAGCTGCAGAGAACCTGTGCATCAGGCAGGCTGCTGAGGCTGCAGCAACTGTCCTGTTCTGTGTGCAGAACAGTGAGCTGGGCTATGGCAGCTGTTGCAGAGTTAGCAGAACTCTGCCATAGCCAAACACACACAGTTTACAAAGGGCTGTGTTGAAGGTTACCTGCCTACACCAGGGAAGTTGAAACAACTAACAAGGTTATGACAAAACAGAGGCATTTAATGCAAAAATTGTCAAATCTAATTAGATCATGAATAAGCAATTCACAGATGTGGTCAACAACTTTTTGCGATCTCCTCATTTCCATCTGTTTAGCAACACTGACTTTTTAAAAAAAACATTACTGACACTCCCAGTGCTGTTCTCTCTTTAGGGGAGCAATTACTGCAGTTGTCATTACAGCACATGGCTGAAAGTACAGAGAGATGTTTTTCAAAGTACGATCTTGAGAGTTTTTCACTTGAAGTGGAAGTTAAGAGGAATACACAGCTTAAAGTTTTCTTCATCCCATAATTGGTTCAATAAACAATAAGCAGCTCTAAGTAAATGAGTCAAGTGTCCAGAAAAATTACTAAGGATAGGAGAACACCAGAACAAATGGCTTGGGAAGGTCACAGTCTCTGTCAATGGAAGTTAAGTATCTGTCAAGAATAACATAGGTATTGCTGATGCTGCCTAAAGGCAGGAGAATAATTTAGCCCCATAAGATCCCTTTCCATACTACCCCTCTACGATTCAATTTAGCCTCATATCTCCAGCTCAGTGTAAGGGTGACTTTCAGTGTATCCTTGGGTGATGAATTTACTGTCATTCTCATTTCATTTCCTCATGAAAATCTGTGCTGTTCTATTCAATTTTTAAAGTAATACAAGAGATTTTGAGAGTTTCTCATTATTTGTCACCTCTTTGGCTACTGATTAGAAGAACGACAAGCTATCGTGCAAGAAAATTAATAGAAAATGTAAAATATTTTCATTTAAGAAAACCATTTTTGGTATATTAGAATCTATCTTGTCATAGGTTTCCAAAGGAAAGGGTTTAAATAATATGCACAAGCTCCTCTACTTTATGAGCACCTTAAGTACCCAGGATGCTAGGATAATGCCAGTCTCCAGAAGAATTCAGGATTCCACCCCAAAATGTTAGGTCATCCAGTCAAACAACGGGTCGTGGTAGAAATAAGGTAAGGAAGGAGAAACAATGAGAAGAACAGCATCTCAAGATAACAAAAAATTGACATTACAGTAAATTTCTCATAACAAGGTTTTCATCACTTGTCCACTTAGATTTAATATTAGGAGGTATATGCTTAACATTTTCTTGTATAAAAGTAAAACTTCTGAACTTAATTTTTAAGATAATCTGGCTTGCCCTTCCTAGCTAAAAGCCATACTCACTTCCTGGAACAACGAGTCATAATGGGTCCAGAAATACCATTTAACAACAAGAACATTACTAAGTGCACTAAATGTTATACATTTAATTTTCCACCTAATAGTAAAATAAGTGTTTATTCTCTTATGTAATAAAAATAATCATGTTTTTTACTCTATTATTTGACAGAAAGTTGGGATTTGGCTTGTCAGTACCCCAGCTGTAATTTATAATTCAGAAAATAATCAAGTAATATTTGATTTGAAATGGTACGACTGTGAGATCAGGGATTTAGCTCTGGGTTTTTAACTTATATTTTAATTTCTTCAAAATTTCAAATGAACTTTCATGTCAATACTGCTAGTTTAAGTTCATGCAAATATCATGGTGACGTTTCAGTAAAAATTTACTAGTTCACTATTTTGTACAGATTCATGCATTTCTTTGTGTTAAAAATAATTGTTTATACTTATAACACTAATGGTCTTGAAAGCTAACTTCTCTGTTGAGGCAGAGGTTGTAGAGGACTACAGAATACTAGGCAAGAACAATTAGCGAAATCTGTTCTTCACCGATGCTTTAGTCATCTATGAACAGCACAAGGTGCTGGAAGGGGAATTCTGGCAGTCTCATTACACTCTGCTCTGCACACAACTGAAACCATTTGCTACACACACAGTGAAATAAAATGGAATGTTGAGAAAAAACAGGAAGCTAACTAGATATCTGATGGTCCCTGCATAGAGAAACAGTGATACTTCAACTGAGGCAGGATTACAGCATGGAGCCTTACACCAGCAAGAAGGAGAAAAGGGCTCTTGAAGACAAAAGAAAGAGTTGGCTTTTTAACTGTTACTGTATGTTTATAGAACAATAGTTTCAAAATTAGAGGTGTGATACCACTGGAATTTAAAAAGCAAAAAAAAACTATGCAGAGTTGAACTGTGGAAAATATGTATTTGGCTTATGCTCCAGGTTGCTCCATCAAAGCTTACCCAGGGGGGCAAATGCAGCCACTTGCACAGGGTGGAGAGGGGACGCAGGAGAAGTTCATGGCAAGGTTTGCGCAAGAGATCCCACAATTCACACCCGCTGCTGGTAATCCAGGCACAGGAGATCTGCAGTCATAGTAGATTTTTCCATCTGGGCATATGTGAACTTCAAATGCAAAATGCAGGTCAGATGAGATCAACTGCTCTTTTACACTGAAGGGTTTCTATTTAGTTTTGTACAGAAACTATTAATTTTAATGTACAGTGAGCTTCATTACAGTACACATAAGAATACAATCTGAACAGAAGTCTATAACAAAATCAATATTAGAGAGATATAAAATTAATATTTGTTCTAATGGAAAAACAAAGGCCAAAATATAATATTAAGCATCTGGATCTATGCGCCCTGAGTCTGATACACAGTTCATTCTTAAAGATATAGTAATTATGTCTTAGGTAGAGAGAATCTATAGAAGTGGTATAATTTTGAGTGTATTGAAATCCCTTCTAAATTCATTAAAAATTCATTAAAAATTTACTTTCCAGAAATCAAGATCTTAAGGCTTCCTAAAAGTGGAGAGAGCCTAATTAGAGGTATTTCCAGAAGAACATATTGACCTAGAAGTCACATGCAATTATTTATTTTTTTTAATTTCCCAAGTAACTTAGTAGTACAATTTGTGCTACAGAAAAAGAAAAAAACCCCCCCCCCCAAAAAAAAAAACCAGCTTGTGCTTCTTACTGCCTATTTTAGATAAGCTGTGACATCAAGTATCTCAATAAAAATACATATGAGGAGAAAACCAAATGACTGTTTAATGTCAAAATCTTTCTCTTTGCAATTTTAATATGGGACAAGACTGTAAATGACCTGTATTTTCTGTAGTGGCTTCAATACATTTCACTGTTCCATTCAAACATTGACTGGAAAAGAAAAGGAAACCCATGTTTATTCAAGGGGAAAAAGTTTTGTAGCCACCATGTTTAAAAAGATAATACAACTCAACTTAATTTAAACAACATACATCAAAAGGAGAAAGAATTTTCCAGGTATCTTGTTAAAATAATCAGATACATAATCCAATTTATACTAGGCTCCCTTTTACTAAGTGTGTAACAAAATAAAATCTCAATACAATAAACCTTCATTCTACATGAAAAAAATTCTCAATCTTCTTAAAGTAACATCCAAACTGTAATACATGAAAGATAAAACTCTTGGCACTCAAACCTACCAGGAGCCTGTTGGCGTAGAGAGGATTTCTCCAGGCTGGAGGGCTTTGCCCTTGTAATGACAATGACAGGCAGATCTGTTAAAAGAATGTTCATGCATTTAGATACAAAAGCAAGACAAAATGGGATTTAAGGGCCATCCATTTATCAAGCTATTATAAGCAGGCCTTATAATTCATTAACTCAATCCTTGTGTGTATCCTCAATCTTTCTTTGAAAGACAAAAACTTAATGATGACACTCAAACTGCATTGAAGTCACTGGTAAAACTCCTATCATGTTCAACAAAGCCAGGATTTTCCTCAATCTCTGTATTATTTATTTGCTGTTTCTGTGCATTAATGTAATTTTTCTTCCCACTTATGGGAGTAGAATGACAACATGTAGTTCCTATTCAAAGTATTGTCAGAATCATGGGATAGAGCAATTCTCATAGCAAAATCCATTAACTCTCTCTATGATAAGAGTCGGATGAGTTAGAAGTAGCAACAGAATTACCTAGACACCATGAAAAACATGTGATTAACAAGTTACCGTGCACTCTTTAATAGTTTGGGACAGTCTTTATCCCTATAGTATGAATTTTACTGATCTTTCCAAAATATATGCTGCAATGAACAGAAATAACTCTGTATAATCTTGAAATTTATATAAATACCTATTCCAGTTTTTAATTCAGTGTCTAAATGAGTAACTACCCAGGATGGTAAGCTGTAAAATTTTGGTACACAATGTACAAAAACTATTTCCTCTCATCCATCATTTCCTTCCATTTAACTGAAGGGGTTTGCATCGTGAGACAGAAAAAAAGGCACTCCAAGCCACTCTTTCCATCCTATCCTTTACTTTATGGATTGCTGCTATGTAGATTCATTCTCATTTTTTTTCTTAAGTGTTAAAAGCAATGTTTTCATGTGAAAATGCTTTCTCATGAAGTAAAGAAGTTTCACCATCCTTCTGTAAAGCAGTTTGATATATCTGCTCTGAAGTGCAGATGTACGTACACACAGTAGCAGATGAAGCCCCACTATTGATTAGTAAAAAAGAATATGAAATCTTCACATATTGTTTGCTATCTTCTTTAGGCAGTCTGCATCTTGAGGAAAACAGCAGAAAAGCTAATTTAAATCTCACTGGAAAGAAGAAAATGTGCCCATACATTTTTTTTTTCTTATGACTTACATCGATACACAAAAGTTGACCGACTCTTCAAAATATTTCCCATCAGGACAATTACATCCTTCTGCACAGTCATCACCACAGATATTTGCCATAGAAAGTGAAGCACAGGAGTGTTTACAAAAGGAAGAGCACTGATGATAAAGCATACCACTGTGACACATTACAGCTGGAGGAGAGAGAGGGATAGAGAAGGGAGAACAGCATACTCTTAAAATGTGAAAAATAGAAAACAAAGCAGTATCATGGGAATGCAAAAAAAGCAAAGCAAAATGGTCTCTTGCTGCACTGGGTTTAGTTGAAAAGCAAGAGAAAAATATGCTATTTTACTGATTCCTTAAGCTAGAAATGTTTAGATTCAGGTAGGTTTGTGTTAATTCTTTGGCTGGAATCGTCTATTTTGTAAGCAGTGGGTGTCTATATATGTTAAACAGGGCATCTATCTAGTAACTCAGGCTTCCAAGAGAGATAAAATTGTCCAGTTAAGGTTGAGGCATTACTATATGGCTTAAAAACTGAAACACAGGAGTTGGACTTCCATAATCCTTTTGGATCCCTTCCAACTCAGGATATTCTATGATTCTGTAAAATGCCTTGTTTTAAATCATTACTGTATCCTGCTTGGCAATCACTGCCCAATGTCGGGTGCCCCTCCCAGTCCAGCTTGCCTTCCCTAAGGGAACAGCCTCACTCCTGCCACCCTCTCACTCCCTGACTACTTCAGCCTAACTGGGGCTTCCATATGACTTCAGGGTTCAAAGAAGAAATTTCAATTCTCTCTGTAACCAACAGAAAGGGAAGACACTCCCTGTGAGGCAGCTCAGGGGCTCCAACTCAGATGCCTAACGTAAAGGCTATTATCGTTCTCCCCGAGTACATCCTTATACTATGGCACAATCCTAGTTTCCAGGAAAAAAGATCAAGCACATTTTGTAGAACAAATGATATTTGTAGAATTTCAGATATTTCTGAAAGATATTCCACGATGGAAGTGTTACTCACCACAGTAAGAAATATGAGACCTGAAGTCAACGACGACCCCATGCTTGCGACAGACGTAAGCGTAGTGTGCCAAAGCGTTACACAAACAGCTGCTCCCACATTTGCACGCGTCAAAGCGGCACAGCTGGTAGTACAACCCTGGACTGATGTAGGCATGGCAGGGAGCAAAAACTTCTTGATTGATGATATCACAGTGAGATGCATACTCAGCTAAGAGAAGATGACATTGTTTTAGTCAGATCCATTTAATTTAATAGTTAATCAAATGAATAGGACAGAATATTAAAACCAAATATAAGCCAGTTGTGCAATAAAAACTTGCATACAATGTCTTCCTGTAAAATTCTATAGTTTAAAATTGATATTATAAGCTACTCCTTCAAAAATAAACTCCATATAAATATAAATAAATATTTAATTTATTAATAATAAACTCCACTTAAGATAAAAATAACTATACTAAAATAGTTATGCCTTCCTCCAATAGCACAGGAAATTTAAATGCCAAAACAACATATTTCAAAAGAGTAGTTAGAAGAGTCCTTCAAAGCTTGGAATATGTTTCTTTGTACTTGACGTTTTATTTAGCTTTGAAATCAACAATGGCCATATACTTTTCGGCATGTGGACTCAGGAAGTATTACAAACTAGAGCTCGAGTGCATGCAAATCCCAAGTTGGCCATATATTTTCTAGCACCAGCAAACCCTTCTCTGACTACTGAGGTGGACTACCACCACAAGTGTTGGAATATCTAAGGAACACCACTAGTGTGGATCATATTCAAGCCACTTTTGCTGCTAAAAGAGTGTGTCTACCCTTCAGCCTCTCTGTTCATTTCCACATACACACAGTGGCACAAGGATTTCACATTTTACAGAGTCTCTTGGAAAACTAGATCCAAGGACTGAACTTGACTTAGTTGAAAATTAACCAGACAAAAAAAGAAACAAACAAAGATTGATTTTTTTAGTTTCATCAAGATCTTCATAGACCTGGAAAAGATGCTTGTGCTTGTAGCATAGGGTTTTACTCTCCTCTGCTTTTTTCCAGTGATCATTACAGCATTGTAGGAAAGTTCAAGTTAGAAAGGACCCTCAGAAGGTCATGTTGTCCACCCTCCTGCTCTAAGCAGCTTACATTTATGTCAAACTCCACTTTCACTGAGGCAGCATAGAACTGAAGGTGAGGCATGAAGGATCTTGGAAAGAGCTAACTTAGCTGAGACATACTGCTTTAGAAGACAGACAGTAGAAGGCATACAAAGCCTCAGAATGCTCCACATTGTTAGAGGTTTAGGGTTATTCTAGGCTTGCTCCCACAGGGTCTAAATATGGATAAATCACACATCCTTAGTAAGGCCTTACGTCTGAAACATTAAAAACATTAGACTACATTCTGTCAGAATTGGCCACTACAGCCTACCCATTGTCTTCATTAATTGAAAAGGACAGGAATGCAAAAAAGGAGACAGTGAAAGTTCAACAGAAACCATAGGCATGTCAACCAGCCAAAACTAAATCTTGATTCAGGAATTTGAACAAATCCAAGGCTCTCAGTTTATTGCTTCAGTTTACCTCAGAGAACATAGATGGAGGATAAGGAAATAAGCATGGAGAAGCCAAAGACAGGACTTTTAATCCAAACACTGTCTCCTGTACTTTCTTTGTTGACCTACAAACATGCATCTACAAACTTCTTTCCTCTCGATTGGCATAATTTACAGAACCACAGAAGAACCACAGACAGTGTTATAGACAGTGTTAACTATAAACTTTATAATTCTATATGCATTCTGCATGTGTATTAGACAGCAGAATTTAGTACTCGTGGCCAGTACACCCAACACTAAATTATCAACTAGCTTGTATTTACCAAGTATTTGCTTATTTGCTTCATTTTACATGCCATATGTATGGAAAGAATGGTCTTTGGGGAAAAAAAAAAGGAGAAATAATGCACATCTCAGCTTGAAGTTGAAATACTTGTATGTGCAACTTCTTCACAGAGAAAACAAAAAATGTCCCATAATAATAATATGAACTTAATTCCAGACTCCCGTGTGAAAACATACCATTTTGCTGATTAACATTACAGGGATCGACCACAGGAATATTGATAGGTATGGAGCAAGCTGAGGAAATCTTCCATGCATTGGCGTGAAGTTGTGGGGTCCCTTCAATCATCCCTGCTGGAGACCTGAAAAGGAAAAGATCAACACTGCAAGCATCCTGCTGACCTTAGGGACTACATGGGCAAGGATGCAAGTACATTAAAAAGGCTTAGATAGATGCATAGTCACAGTGAACAATCAGCATGTCAAAAGGATTTTCATCTGGGAGGTATAAAAGAAGAGAGAGCATGTGAAACTTCTTCAATATTTCAGTCATGTGAAAATAACAGTACATGAAAAGTCTGCCTTCACTTTGGCTAACAGGTCACTCCATTTATATACTTGAATAAAGGCCAAATCTCTTCTCATTTATGTCTCCAGCTGATTTCAGAGTACTTGAATTAAGCCTATTTTGGTGTTCTACAGTGGGGCTGTTTGCATTCTGATGCTGGCTTGCACCAAGTATTTCAGAAGCATTTATTATTGCTAGACGAGTTTTGTGACATTATAGCTTGAGGAATTTTGGAGGAAATAAGGCAAAATAGTAAGGAAAGTGTGCCCTTCTAATTAAAACATTCCTGTAGTTCCAAATTATATATTTTTGTTTACATTAGAAATTAATGTAAGGGGCAAAAAATCAAGCAAAAGTAAGTGTGAACTACGTGAGGATGATACAAGTAGTATCACCCACTCTTTTTGTCTCATATATTCGGTCTGAAGATAAGGGAGCATCCAGCATTCAAGCAATATCATCATCCCATACCTTCTATAAAAAATACAGTGGCTTTCTATAATTACTTAGCAAAACACCTTAGAATGCCTGAATTTATGACTTTCATATTTTAAAAAGTGAGTACCATTTTACCTAAGAAATTTTTTATGGGTTAGTTTAGTAATGTTTGAGCATGTCAGTGAAATTAAATAATTGGATGATTACATTCAACAAAACTTTTCACTTGTTATTAAACACAATCTAAATGTACAACATGAAACTTACAGAAAATCATCTCTTAAATTCCCATTGTACGTTCCACATAGTCCTAATGTTCTTCTTTTCCATCTGACATCAACTTGAACATAGATCCTCTCTCCATCTTTAGCAAACAGTATCTTCAAACCAAAACTAGTTTTCATTTGCACAAAGAAAGAGGATATATTCTGAATTTCAATAGCCCCTGAACACAGCAAAACAAAAAGGAAAAGGAAAACAAAGTCACTGAAATCTAACATTCAGGTTGTGCTGGTTTACCCATTAAACAAAAAAGATTTTGAAAACTCAGAAATAAAATGAGAAATTATGTACAACCTCACCATCAGCCACATATCCATACCCATTCTCTATCTGAGCTTATTTCCATTAACAACAGAAATCAGGAATTGCAACTACTGTCAACAGTAAAAAATGTCTCACCTTTCTGTACCTGTGAGCCTACGAGTTATCTAGGAACCACACTTGCATCTTTTTTTTTTTTTTTTTTTTTTTAATTTCAAAAGAAAACACTGCAACTGCAAGCCTCTGGCTCATTTCTTAGCCTCCAGGGATCTTATAAGATTAATTAACAGATATCAGTGAAGTGTAATCCTTAGATAGAAGGTTCTCTCCACCTCTATTGATATGACATCAGCACAGCTCCTTACGTGGACTGTATGTAAACTGAGCCCCTATCAAATTCCCAGCTTTCCTTCCCAGCAAATCCATTATGTGAGGAAATGGAAATTTCACAGTCACAGCATTCATCTGCTACCCATTGTTGGGCTACTTGCAGCTGGAGGCTAAAAGTGGATCTACCTTCACAAGCAGCCTCTGCATGCACACATCCCCCCCCCCAGGTGCATAAACTGAGAAGAGGAAGATAAAATGCTTAAGGGTGTTCTTAGCCAATAAGAGTTACTAAATACACACAATTATCAAGCATGTGACACCAAAAGATTTGTCATAGTTTGTATTTGTTGCAGACTATGGAGAGAAACAGGAAAGTGAGTAGGGATTGATTCAAAAGAAATAAAATGTAATTACCAGAGAAATTAGGAAGCAGAACTGTCAACATAGCTGAAGGCATAATAAACTATTTAACTCATTGCCATAGGAAGCCTTGAATGCCAAAGGCAGAACTGTGACCATAAAATTCAATGAAGGAAAAATGTAGCTGCAACCACCAGCACAGAACTCCCTAAACTCTGTTTTTCTTGAGTATGGAAAAGGACTTTAATCCCACTTTATTTTTTCAGAAAGAGATTAAAAATCCAGTGACTGGTTCACCATAATTTACAAAATTTAACAATATTATTTTTACCTTCAGTGCCTAATTTTATAACATGCTTTTAAGGCTGATTTATTTCACTATCCTTTTCGAAAAGGTAAAGTAACCTGTCTGAAATCACAACATAAGTCAGCACTGAAATCAATGTAGATCCCATGGAGCACGTGGATTCTATTCTATGCTATTTATTCTAAAAAGCTTTAAACAAGCTAGACCTTAACATCAGCATTGAGGTGATTTCCAACCTCTCTTCACCTTCTCTCTTTTTCTTACCTCCTTCCCCCTAAACACAAACAAAATGAGTGGAAATTCTAGGTACTCTGCAAGATAAGAAATGCAAAGAAATAAAGGCATAATGAAGGACTGTTTAACAGACTTTAAAAGTACATTTCTCTAATTATTACTAAAGTTCTAAGAAGTGATCGTACACTTCATAAGTTAGGTTTGAAGAAATTCCCTTTTCATAGACAGATAATATTAAAAAGTTTTGGAGCATATGAGAGGCAGAATGTGAACCCTGATAAAATTCTTCTCTATGGACTTCTTACCATTGAGGTTAAAAACTTGATTAGAGACAGTTTGGACTTGACCATATCTTGTGAGAGTTACTTGTTTCCTCACATCATCTTCAAGGACTAGTGTTATAGACTCAATGCAGGTGTGGTCAAAGTTCTAAGTAGAAACAAGTTTCACCATCAGAAAAAGGCAATGAAATTAATACTACCATGGAAAACAAATCCAAAAAAACAGGGAAAAAACCATCTGTATGGACAGGAAATAACAGAACTGTCATTAGGTAAATCAGTTGTAAACTATCACTCAAAGCATTAAACATTTTAGCTACTATGGCAGTCTAGTAGTAAGTGGACAGAGGTCCCCAAGTACTAACACTGTGTTCAAAATGCCATACTTGCATGGCCACCCAGGATACAGCTCATTGGTGGGTTAATCAGTGTTTGAACCAGAGTCTGACCCCATCTATACCAGGCTGGCACAATCAGACCACAAACGCAGCAATGCAGGAAAAAGAAATTCTTGCACACGTGAAGGCGCTTCCCACCTAGTAATGTAGTGATAATCTCTGATTGTAGACCAAAAGGATATAAATTCTCCAGAATTATATTACAATAGTTTATCAATATCTGACTATCTACATTGTTTTAGTGTGCAAACCAAGCAAAATTTATGAACCTAAATACAGGACAAATGGTGACATATAATCAGCTTAACTAACTGTTTTACACTCCCCAGGGGCCTCTCGGTTTTCATCCAAAAACTTTTCAAGGTGGCTAGAGTTGTGCAAAAAGTTGTTTCCAGTGGCACCCTTGTCTCTCAATGGCTACCTAAGTAACCATTCCATGCTTGAGGCCACCTGAAATGCAGAAACAGTAGTCTCAACACCTATGCAGAAGAAGAAGGTGCTTGCAAAAAAGGCAGCAGCATCAGCTCATAGTCTAGCTTTTGAAGGGAAACAAGAGACAGCCCCATAGCAGGGCAGCTTCCATGCTTTGCTTCCTGCTGATGAGTTCAGACATGCCTGCCCTCAGCACATGGCAGCTGTGAGTCACAGTCTCAGAGCCCCTTCTCCTGAGAGTCTAGGTGACTAAGAGCATCATTAAATCTACTCTCATAGATAAGTACTTTTTATAAGCACCTTTAGTCCTAAAGCCTATTGTTGGATGCCTGTCAAAATACTTTCAAACAAATATGTGTGGTGGTTTGTCTCATTGATAGTTTTCTAAAAGGCATTGTTCCAACAAATTAAATATGTTATAATATATCAAATAAAAATCTAAAGCTAACAAAAAAAAAATCTCTTGCCTAACTAGTAGTGTATTAAACCTGCTTAGTGCTGCCAGGAGAAGCTTTTTCAAAGCCTAAGATGTTGTTGGTACCATAACTAAAGATGTTTATAGTTTTTTAATGTGCATAAATTAATAAGCCTTTAGATTTTATCCCTCTAAAGATGCAACTGATTTTACAAAGAACAATACAACTTGTAGCAATACAAATACTACCAAAAAAAAAAAAAAAGCTGTTAGATGGTTTCAGTTTATATTTGCTATTAAACATAACCAGTAGTTTACAGCAGAACTTATACAAAATTACCTGAAATATGGATGGATCCATTTGTTTCAACATTTCAAGAAAAATGTAGCTTACCTGTCCACAAGGTGCTTTCTGTAAAGTGATTGTGAATTTGTTTTTCCCACTGCCTTTTACCAAAATGTACTGGCAAATCCCAAGAAAGGTAAAATGACGCCCATCAAATGTTGTGAAATGAGAACTACCTGTGATGGAGCACTCAGCTTGAAAGAGAAAGGATAAACAAGAATGTTCACTTGCATAAGAATGTATCATTATTCTGTAAATTATGTAAGAGAGATAAAAAAGAAACTTTCTCCTTACTTCTAAGAACATAATCCAGGCTAACTTTAATCTGTCTAGCTATAATGGCATTTAGAAACAAAGTATGCTAGAGACACCTGTTTCCATCAGATACCATCTCATATTGCACACTCCGCTGTGCAGCATCTTTTCGTTCTAAATAGGTGAGATGCCTTTGAGTTACAAGTTCTCTAAAATAGAAGAGACCTTTCCCTTTACTACAATTCAGAAATATCTTAGAATCTTCCACTCAGCATCTTTTTCCACGACTGAGTGTGAAAGAGGACAAGGTTCTTTCTCCAGCCTTCTAGGTACTGTGGCACTGCTTTTTACCGCAGGTATGAAGAGGCTGCAGGTGTCTGTCATCAGGGAACATCTATTTTTTTTTTCCAGCTCAAATCAGGAATGCATTGCTGAAGCAAGTCTCCAGCTCAACCCCCCTTACTGCACTTTTATTACGCCATGGGGCAGCATCAAAGCACATAAACTAGATTTACTTTGGCTGTAGCTACTGCAGGAGGTGCTCTGTGAAAGCACATTTAACCTGGTCCTGCTAATAATATCAATTCAGTACCAGACTAGAGTAGTAATAATTAACCCCCCCACATGCACACACAACACACAGGAGACATAGGAAATGGTTCTCAATGTCAGCTGTTTCACATTACAGATCCACATTGTCAAGCCTTGCTTAGCAATTGTTAAGTCTTATTACCTCATACAGAGAGGGATCCTTATTTGTAAAAAAAAAAATCTCTCTCACAAATTTCATAGTATAATCTTGCCTAAGATACAGAACTGTCAAGGGAGTTTCACTACCTGACTGCTGCATGTTCCTCTGTGTAACTCATTAGAGAGGCATGCTATCTTTAAGGATAGGGATCATTATCCAAACATAAACTGCTGTTCCAACAGAGAAAATGCAGCACACTGAGCATCAGAATGATGGTTTCTTATTATTTGCATTAAAGTTGCACTTAGAAGTGAGGAGATCCTTATACCTGGCCTAGGTATAGAAATATACACATGCAGTAGAAATATATCACCTGTGACAAAGAACATTGAGCATAAACAGGAGATAGAAAACAAGAAGTGGATGTAGCACCCTGAGGTAGGGCAGCAGATGGGAAAAGGTAGGATAAATATGGTCAGGCTTTGCTCCAGCTGGCCCACTGCTACTCTCAATATCCATCTGTTTAATCTTTCTTCTTAAACTAGCAGCCCAAACCCTTGGATCATATCTGGTTCTGTTGTCTTCTGAAAAGTTTATCCTTTTTGTTATGAGGAGAGAAAAGAATAATGAAATACAAATACCTGGGCAATCATGATCAGTGCAGTTCCAAATGCCACCAACACAAATACTAAAAAGAAAAATCACAAAACAGAATTTCAGGGTTCTGATCTTTAGTAAAATAAGTATTTTGAGTTAATAGGCCTTGAATTCCCACTTCCCACAGAATAGCCTGCTTATTTTAGTGATATGCAGGGCTCAGACTGTAAAACGTAGATACTAACCATTATTTAAAATGTGTCACTATGATGTTAAATTAACTATGCACAGCAGTCACACAGAAATGAAACACAAAGGCTTTCACATACCAGTTGCTACATTCTTGTTCAATTTTTGAGCCTACAGGGAAAGCAGTTCCATGATAAGTACAAGGACAACTCGACAAAGAGATACAAGTTCCATTTTCCATAATGAGACCTATTGGGAGAGAAGTGAATAAATGAGATAAAAAACAAACTAACGAACTCCGGATCACTGTTCTTCCCCCATCTGACTGAAACATTTAAATCTGCCAGAAGGTGATCTCACCAGTCTTCAACAAGAACCAGCAAAAACAGTTGCCCAGCGAGTGCAGAGAGCTCAGAATGATGAGCTCAGAGTAAAGTTCTCTGAAAAGCAGTTGTCACTGTGAATCATTGCTTTATGAAAAATATCTGTCTTAAGCATGAAAAACCGTACAGACTCAAAAATTAAAAGATTCTGAAATCTCATTATCTTTATTCCTTCTAGAATAGGACTGTTCATAGTCTAGTCAATAATTTTTGTTGAGTACAGGTCTCAGAAAGTTTGGTATTTTATACAGAGCAAGACAAATTCTGTTTAAGCAAAATTTCTATAGATTTTGGAATAATTCAAATAAAGTGGACTAAATCTCTGCAATATCTTATTGTGGGAAGCATTAGTAATATTTCCAGACTGTAACTGATATTCCATGGTGAGACATCTTTGTATTCCTGAGAAACGTTTAGCATGCAATAAAAGGAAGAATCACAGTGACAATAATAACAGCTAGAGCAGAATTACAATATTCATGTTTTCAGGCTTCAATTTTAAGCACAGGTTATTTAGACTTTATTATGATGTTGGATACTAGCTTTACATGTATTTTTTTCATGTAACATTGACAGTATTTACCATCTGGACAGTAACAGCCATCTAAACAGTGCAGGTTGCTGCCAAGACAATCTTTTTCAAATGTGCAGGTTGGTGGACAACAACTGATACAGTCACGGTGAACAAAGCTGTCTTCACACTTCTCAGCTAGGAAAAAAAACCCCATGGTATATTGAACATTAGTGCCATTTTTAATTTCCATGCTGGAAAAGCCCCCTCTGTCAAAGAAACAGTTGTGCAGCACTTCTGGTATAGATAGTTAATCAGATAAGTACAATGGATGTTTTAGAGGGGTTTTAACTGATGATCTATGGTGTACCTCTCAACAGTATTAATTACAATTACAATTAAAAATAACAAATGTTACCAAATTCTTATACCACCCCTCCAAAATAAGTTATCATTTCTGTGACAGAGGAATATGTGCTCATATCTCAGCTAGTTCAAAGCCCTGTGCATGAGCTGCATAGCTGAGCTGCAGTTGATGGGCAGTGGTGATAACTAGAAGGAGCTGGATTAACTAAGTTAATTCTGTTATAGGGCCAGTAGAGGTTGAAAGGTCTTCTGGGAAAAGGGACAAAAACAGATCTCCACAGATGCTTGTTCTTTGTCCTAGAATATGATCAGTACACATGATGTTTCTAGTAATCTGCAGAAACATGAATTTTGTATGATCTAAATCATATCACAATGGAATTAAAATATTCCTCTAGCTTTATCATTGACTTCGTTGTTTGCCAGCAACAGTGTAACTGATGATCAACTTGAGTATCAGGTCTGAGTCGTATAGTGACAAATGTTGGCAAGATGGATTTGTTTTAATACATATGATATCTCAGAATTCACATAGTATGCTTTATTAAAGAGTCTTACTACAGGCAGGAAAGTCATCCCTCCAGTCCCTCAACGGGGACCCAGCGTGAGAGCATGCTCTAGCGTACTCTGTCACTGCCCTGCAGTACGTTTCATCATCATCCACTCTGAAACGATAAAATAACAAAGTAATCAAAGAACTCAAATCCTATCTACAAATTTCTGCCATGGGACATTGTACAGGATATTTCACACATAGCTGACACCACTCAGTTATAATGGCACACAGTGAAAATACAAAAAGGAATGAGCCTTACTGAATACACTGTTGTGTCTTTATCACTGATCTCACAAAAAGTTGTTTCATTTTAATATTGCCACAATGAGCAAAAACACTAATCTATTATAAAAACAAACAAACAAAAAAAAGTGCTGTTTATAGTGAAAGAGAAACAGGACCTCTTCTTGAAGACAGTGGACAACTCTCAAGATCCCCATGTCAGGCTCTCTCTCTCTCGCATGATGTAGAAACTCTGACCTACACTGACAAAAGACATTCTGATCCAAGAAGTGCAAGTTTCCAATTACTTGTAAGACCTTTAACTTCGGTGAGAAGAACCCTGTTGTTGGACTCCTGACCTTGTGCTAAAGTGCTCAGAACCAGAAGCATTATCCAGTGAATACTGTGGGCAGACTCAGGTATTTACAGCACAGCCCTGGGCAAAGTCAATATCTCTGCCTTAGTCTATACAGAAGAAGCTTACAGTGCGCTTTTACCAGGATCAGGTAAAGAGACATTCGTTAATGTTTAGGTAAGTTCAGAATTTATTCAGATGTAAGTCTAATGCAGTGAAATACCACCAACCTTTTGTTACTGTGAAAGTCCAACAATTCACATCACTTACTGTGGGGGATTTGATGCCAAAATAGACTAGTCATAACACAACATATCTGTTATAAGCATGACTGTGACAGATGAGCTGAGTTTGCCTTTCAGCACACAAGATCATGCTTCCAAAATTAATGGTCTTAAGAATATGTTATATCATGTTTGTATTCTGCTTTCAACATATCTGTTATCAAATCAAACGCCACTATACTCTTTCTTACAATAATCATTCTCTCCAGCTCTCCTTATCTAATCCAATTAAATGGGTCTTAGTAGAAAGAATACTTGGCATACACTATGGTCCCACAAAAAACTTCTTAAACTGACTAAGCCACAAGAAGAGAGGTCTCTTTTACAAACAAAATAAGCCTAAATTAATGAGACACAGAAACTTCAAGGTTTTTAACATCCACACAATTGACATCAACACACAGGAGCATGTTGGCAAAAAATCCAATCCCCTTTGACATCATTGCACTGATTCAATACCCTATTTGAAATTTGAAAATTTGCTTTTCATTATTCTTCAAAAGCCACAGTAAACTCCTGAGTTACAAAGAGACCATATAGAGGCAACTCATCTCTTCTCCAAGTGAAATCAATGTACAGATCATAAACATTATGAAGGACACTTTGGATATTTGCCTACAAATACAAAGTCTTCCACATTGACTCTATGGTAAATCAGAAAACTAAAAATCCATCCAAAATGACCTAACAAGTTGTAATGGATTATACTGAGTGATCTTTATGTTTAGATTTGTGATCCTTTCTGTATGTTTTTGATTAAATTAATAATACTCAGAGAAGGTCATAATAGTATCTCGTAAAAATCCTCCTATTTTTGACAATTACTTCTTAATTTGAAAACCTTACTACAAAGTAAGTGGTACTCTGCTCAGTTATCTATTCAATTACTGGACTACAAGTTTAACTTGAATGACAAAGCCTAATCGGTGAGTCTGGAGAGCTAAGGGGAAAATAACAGGTTGCATACAATGCCAGCAGCTGAGGGGGTGTGACTCCCACCAAAGCAAATGAGAGTTGAATTTCTTTTGACAACTATGAATTTACATATGTAAAACCATTTTGTTAAAATTCTACTTGTTTGAACCATAGTGATAACTCATAAAAAACAGTCCAACTGCATCAGAGAAATGGTCTAGCTCCTCCAGTACTGTTGTTATTTCTCAGTAGTACCATCCCCATGTTTAGGGACCTCGAGATACAGGTCTCAGGTTGTTTGTGATTAGCAGTTTATCTTTTGTCATTAGTTATTCTCCATGGATTTATCTTCCATTTATTTGTCTAGTATTTCCTTGAATACATGTAAGCCTTTAGCAATCAAAATATCCCTTGGCAGGCTAGTTCTGTGCCCTCTGTTTCCACACTAAATCACCCCCTGAGAAACTCCCATCTCTTTCATTTTGAACTCAGTTCTTCCTAACTGCCCTCAGTGTTGTTCCGTTCTGGTCTCACACAAAAGCATGAGCATTCATTTCATGTGTCAAAATTAAATACACAAGAATTCCAGCCTTACCTGCAAAGATCATTCATACAGCTTGAAATATAAGAATACGGATCTATGCTTTCATGGCAGCTGAGAAAAGGAAACTGTAGGAATATTTGGCACTTGAGGAATATGTCCTGTGCATTAAGAAGAATCAGTAAATGACAGTTAGCCAATACTTTCTGAACAGGCATAATTCCATAATATAGGATCCTTTATATCCCCATTAAACTTTGAGAATCTTGCAATCTCAATTTATTATTATACCTCTTTTATTATTCCTCCTAAAGTTTGCCCTCTCTGCCTAGGCTGCCTAGGCATGCTGCTCCTAAGCCAGCTGAGATGAAATAGTGTGAAATGAGAAAAAGGAGCGTTTTGTGTCAGTGCAGGAGCTGACCATGCTATTTCTGCAGTATTTCACAATTGCCAAAATAATGAGGTGTAAGGTGCCAGGACTGGAAACTGAACTCAAGTTTAATGTAGTAATGAGGAGCTCTGCCAGCAGACTAGTGCCACTTGGCACATACTATCTGAGCCTCTGTACTTTTAAGCTAAATATATGAAGAACTCTCTACCAACAGATCTAACCTGAGTCTTTCCTTTCTCAAAGCCTCAATGCATTTAAGACTTTTTTCAACATGCTGTATATTGCTAGATTCTTGTACCCTCAGTAGGCAGCAAATATTAAGAATATATATATATGTATGTATATGTATAAAGCATGATTAATTTACCTCAGTGGATTCTCCATTAGCTGAGCAAGGACTGGAAAAATCTGAGGCAGTAGGCATACAAGCTACATCACCTGAGGATTGCACAGCCCAGCTGTTTGCAAATTTAGCAATGTCCTCTGTATAATCACCAACTGCATGAAAACATTGGGAGAACAACAATGAAAAAGAAGTTGTCAACACAAACACAAAAGACACCTTTGAAATTTCTAATAATTTTTCAATGTGTTCATAATCTCAATTACAAATGTTTTCAGAGTACAAATGGTGAAGAAAAATGTTACTTCTCTTTTTTACTTCAGATTTAAATGAAAACATTAAAAAAACCATGACAAGGTCTTGTTTGGGGTTTTTGTAAGAGCAATTACTGATAATTTTATAACAAATATACAAATAATGACAAGTGTAATGCATTGAATACTTAAGAAAAAAACACATTTCTTTGAAACACATAAAGGCTTTGATCATGTTTCACAGAGGTCAGTTAGTGCTATTATCTCTCTCCTTTTCCCTTGTTGCAGAAAAGCCCTACAACAAACACACCACAACACGCCCACCTCTCCTCACACCTCCTCAATGAACCTCATCCCATTGGAATCAGCCCAACTTTCCAGTCTGTCCAGGTCCCTCTGTAGAGCCCTCCTGCCTTCCAGCGGATCAACACTCTCCCCCAGCTTGGTGTCATCTGCAAATTTGCTAATGGTGGACTCAATCCCCTCATCTAAATCATCGATAAAGATGTTAAACAGGACTGGGCCCAGCACTGATCCCTGGGGGACACCACTGGTGACCGACCGCCAGCTGGATGCAGCCCCGTTCACCACCAGTCTCTGGGCCTGGTCATCCAGCCAGTTCTTAACCCAGTACAGAATGCTCCTGCCCAAGCCATGGGCTGCCAGCTTTTCCAGGAGTATATGCTGGCAACTTTTTCAGGCTTTTACGAAAGATAATATATTTAAAGATCCGGAAATTACTATTTTTTAGAGATCATGTGAATTCATTAATTCCACCAAATACCATTTTTCTCTATTATTAAACATCACCAGTTTAAACTGGTTATTAAACATACCATGGTCTGGTGTGCAGAAGTTAATGCACAAAACTTATTGCTCTCATTGCAGAAGAGGTATGAGAAATTTATACTGGGCAGATTTTTAAAGATTATGCGAAGATAGGTACACTGAGTCTTCCTTCACTAAGAAAGTTAAAAAGCTCGATTATCAACCATAAAAAATGGTGAAAAAAGTTGGTGAGACAACTTTTGAGACCTAATAACGTGCAGAGCCATGGGACTAGGTTCTCCTTGCAGTTAATGGTAACAGTAAAATAGTCCTATCTTGTTTTTATAAGAGACTAAGAAAAATATTCCTCATATCCTCAAACTTGTTCTTTTTTCTCACATTAGTTCCAAGTAGGACAAAAGTCCCCATGGAGTATTCCCTACATGGACTACAGAATACAAGTTTAACTCATCTCTGCCTCAGACGTAGCATTGGGCAGCTCCTCATCCTACAGTGAAGTTGGAGGACCATAGGACACCATAGCAACAAGGAGATACAAGGAACTCCCTGGCAACAGTTTGGAAATTTACACATTTCAACTAGTATTTTTATGATGCTGATATAAAAGAATGACTTGAGATGGTGCTTTTCCCTTCATCTTTAAAACACATATAAAACCACAAACATTTGTTTATTTATTTATTATTTGAAGGTAATTTCATCAGCTAAGACAAACATAGCCCAAGTGTTTTGTTGAGCAAGAAAAGGCTTAAATGCAAATATAAATTATTTTTTAAACTCCAATCTTTTCCATTTGAATTTTGAATGATGAGGAGAAGCAAAAGTAGAGCAGATACACTATTTGACTGAAATAACTGAAAGAGGACTCTTCCTTTTTACAGCATTATATTTTAAGAGCATTATATTTAAAGTTAATATAGAAGTTGTTCACACAAGTTAAGGGTAAGCTATTTACTTACTATTTTGCAGTATCAGGTCATCATATTTATTGCCATTAAAATTTCCACAAAGGCCACAAGGTTTTCCCTTATGATCTTCTGTCAGCTTAATATAAATACCAGAGTTTCCATCCCAAGCAAGAGAAAAACCAAATGTAGTCTTCACCAGAATATAGTCAGCCAGTCTCTCAAGAAAAGCATTTCCAACTGTCTGAGGCAACATTAATCTGGAAAAACATAGTCTGCTTCAAAAATCTCAGATGAGATGAGGTTCTTGCTAGAAAAATACCACATAAAACACCACCACCTAACTCCTAAATCCTTTTTCCCTAGTGTATACAGTCACTCCATTCAATTCTTCATCATGTTTTTATCTTTTCTTCTGTTTACTTCTTTATATCAACCATCAAAAATGAATGCTTTTCTGTTGTATACACCTATCAGTTGTACCAATTATGAGCCTGAAAGGAGAATGAATCTTCCCTTTCAAAGCCCAGTTCAGCACACTAAGGAATACTTGACTTTACAAGCATGCTGCATTGGGCAAGGAGCTCTATAACGCTATGACCTTCTGGGCACTGGGTTATCACTGGGTTAAACATCTGCATATGGAGAAACTTACAGCACAGAAAATACTATTGACAAAAAAGTTGCATGTCTTCCTCCCTTGGTCAAGACCACTGGACAATAATAAGCACAGATCTAATCCTAATCTTCCAAAGTTGCTTCTGTTGGGTTGAACAGTATCACTGTAGCTATCAGTCTCAGACACTAATATCCACATTAACTCTCTGAAATTTTCTGTAATTTATCAACTAGTAAAATAAATTTCTGATAGCCTTGAGCTCATCTTTTTACCTATTAAAAAAAAAAAAAAAAAAAAAAGGTAAATTTTGGAGTTTGATGTACCTCAGAGAAGTTTTGTGGAGTTTGTGCCTCAAGGGGGCTTAGAATCTTTGTTTTAACCAACTCAGACTCACCTGGAAGAAGATCATGTCTTGTACTAGCTACAGCTACCAAGAATAAATAATGACTGCCTTGTTCAAAATGGCATCAGGATGCACCAAGGATTAGCTAGGGCTGCCTGACACAGACTTTATCTGTACAAAGTAGGGATGAACAATTGTTAGGTTACATCTGAGAAGCTGAAGACAAGGTTAATGCAGGGAGTGTGTTCTATTCTCTCTCAGGTATTACATCAGGACTGTTACATCTGCTCCTCCTAGAGCTCTGTCAGTCCCAATATAGAACAGCAAGGGATCAATGCAGACATAGACTGAATTATTTGATCTGGAAGGTGTAAAAAGCATCAATTTCTCTAACTCCACATAATCTTTTCACGATAAATTACTAAACCGCACCATTAGAACACTTACCTGATTCCATTTTTTCTTACTTCATGGCCTGAAATAATTATTTCTTCCTGGTTCGAAAAAAATAAGCTGATGGACCTCTGACAAGTATATACAGAACCATAACAGTGAGGACTGTTATGAACCTTAGATGGGAAAAATATACACACAATAAGAATAACTGTTTGTTCTCAATAATTTCACAGCATTTTTCATAAATTCATACATGATATTTTACATTTCTATGCTCCAGTTACTGAAAGAGCTTTACAAATAAATACCTGAAATACTTAAAAGTCACAATTACAAAGATATGCAAAACCAGGAGTTCATGCTAGCCAACACTAGTGAGAAATACAGCAACTGTTGAATAGCACAAAGCATCACATGACAGAGATTTGAATACTGGATGAAATAGTCAGGTATTTTACACTGATGAACTTCAGGGACACTGTAGTGAGCTAGCTGATAGCTGCCAAAGTAGGAGTTCCTTATTTGCAAACACCCCTCTTGCTCTGTTTCTAGAGGTCTGGTCTATAAGACAGGACTACAAACCAGTACAGAACGCCAACATAATACCAGCACTCTCACTGCCAGCTGGGACTCATACCAGCTGAACTACAACGTGCCTTCCTGAACCACTCAGGATGTTTCGAGATTTTGAAGTGCTCCCACAGATTACTGCAGGTATCTAATTTACATGGATCTGTTAAAATCCACTCTGCACTGGCTTTCCAGCCCTGCTAATGGAGAAGGGTAGACTTTCCTGAAGTGTGCTTTTGCCCATTATACATATATAGCATAGTGAGCAAGGGGACTGGTTTGAGTCATATTTTGGTTTGAGTCATCAGCTTCTCTATCTCGAATATAGTAGTCTCGGGACTTGAAAAGAGTGTGGTTTTCCTTGAGCAAAACTTCAACAGCTTTCATCAATCTCTGTGGGGTTGAGCCACCCTAACCTTTGGGATGTCCTATAGTGCTTAAAAAGCCTGAGAGCTTATTTTAGACACCATTGAAGAGAGAGGGGAATATGTTTTGAAACTTAGATGCCTATCATTACCTAAATTAAAATGTAGACAGAGTTTAGATAACTCAAATATGACATGTTACTGTGTGTGTCACCATTCTTTGAGAAGGATGGGAATTGCATTACCAGTTTACTTGACAGTACTGTGAAGCTAAATAAATTCATAACATTTTACATACAGTGCTAACGCATACTCGAATTAATCTTCCTTAATTGACACTTAATCCTGGAAGTAAGAACCAGTTAGTTTCTTTGAGTGAAATAAACCAAAGCAGGAAAAGCATTAAGTGTTTTTACATGTATAAAAATAATCATAATTAAAGACAACATAAATGTTACTAGTACTGACAGATGGCTTCTCTGTAAACCCAGTCTAAGACAGAAACACAATCAAGGAAAATCAAAATAATTTTTGTGGGTTTTTTCTTCTCTTGAGAGGTGGATTATTAAAGCCAGAAGGACCTAAATGTGAGGATTTGGCAAGGTTTTTGGCTCTCCATTGCCCAGTCTGTAGAGACTGCAGTCTCACATTACTCATGAATTTGCTGACTAAACATTTTCAGTTTTCAGTAAAACATGACATTTTTTCCAGCAATTGAATGGAAGCTTCTCTCTTTCCAGAGCAATTGAATCCCCTGACATACTGATTCTAGATTTTAATATAATCTTGGTCTTGGCTACAGCAATTTCTGAAAACTCCTATCAGTTCACAGCTGCATATAGAATTCAGAGAATTAAAATTATATTGTGGAAGGCAGGTATAACAGCATCTCTCTATATCTTCAGTGAATAGAAACGGCAGTTTTAATGGTAGATTTATCTTCACTTAGTGCTGTTATCTGAGGGAAGAGAAGATCATCTGTTTATAAATAAAGTCCTCAGAGCAGAAATCAGCATGTAGATCTGCCCTCATCCCTGCAAGCACTGTACCCACCAAGGCTCAGAATTAGGATTCCTCTTGTCCCCTTTTCCCTGCCCAGTCAGCATTAAATCCCAACCACTGTGTATAAAGTAATATAATGAGTTTGTATGCTCTCCCCACAGTAACTAAGCCTGACAAACAGGGCATCTTTCTTCAAACATGGTATAGGTTTGAACTCTCCCTGACCCAAAGCCATTAACCACAGATACCCAGCAACTTGAAGAAATTACTAAAAAGAGTGCCTTCTATACATAGGTCAAGATGAAGGCTTTTGAGCTGTTAATCTTCTCTGCATGACTTAGAGGTAATCCAAAATTAGAATGTAAATCCCCAGAGAGGACAGGATGGGAGAGCAAATCCCATCGGCCAGGGAGACAGATCCTCACAGCACGTCAGTGGCTGCGAACTGGGGCCCAGTATGCTCAAGTGCCTGGCAAGTGATAACTGTTTGCACTTCACTCAGCAAATTAGTTTTTCTTACAATATGATAGCTTCAGTTCATTGACGTTTCCAAGGTTTGCTTTGAGACCCATGGTATCTCCAAGAAGGGAGAGCAAAAATCCCATTAAGGATAGGAGGAGTAAGAAATATTCTTTTTAATATCCTGACTCTGTTGATTATAATTTCAGCAGTATTTTGAGTTACTGTACATAGGTTTAGACACTTCCAGAAGAATAGTTTTATATCTAAGTAAGCAACGACCAGTTTGGTACATTTGTTGTCTCTCTACTTATTTTACTTACTCATTTATATTTACTTACATACCTATTTCTAGTGTATGTTCACATACTTACCCAAACAGTGTACTGAGGTTCTAGAGTACTGCAATCTTTTGCAAAAATATAGGAGCAATTTCCTGGGAAGTAGTAGTAGATGCCATCAAATGTTTCAAAATGATACTGTCCCCACGACTTGCAGATCCCATCTCGGTCCTTACCAGTGTTAGGTACTGGAGAGAACATAATGAGTTTACAACAAGCACTGTCATAAAAAATTGACAGGTGTCACAGTCATCTATGAAAGTAGGAGCTCAGAAAGGAAGTAAGAGCTTAAAAAGGAAATACATAGAAAGTACAAAAGATAAACTCATTTCTTCAACTTTAAATAAAGTCAGTACTTTTTCTTAATCTTTAGTCTGCAGTTTTAACCATGTGCAATCATCATTAATTTTTTTATTTGCCACAGTGGAGACATTTTAATTACAAATAGAGGTAAGGGATTTAGATATCCTGCCAGTCCTGGAAGACAATTCTTGTTGATCCCTACACACAGCAAATTCCAGAAACTAGTGCACTGAAATAGTTCGTAATTTTATTTGCAGTAAGTCACTGTTCAAAAAAAGGCAGTGGCTTTTTGGTTGTTCAACTAACTATAAAAAAGTTGGCTGGCTATGGATGCACTAGGCAATGATTTGTCTGTTATGGTATCTGTACATTATTACAGCCCAAGTGCTAAAATATAGGCATTCCTGCTCTCTGTACATCCCTAACACTCCTAGCTACTTGTTGAATGAGAGTCTTACTACAGAGGAATCACAAATATGCTGCTAATGGTATTGTTTTCAAAAGCTGCATCTCCCTTGAAGCTGAAACTAAACCCTTTGGCCCAAAACTTACCAATTTGGCACCTGCTTCCTTGAGCCTGAAATAACTGACAGTCACAATCACCTGCCTCTGTGCAGGCTGCTCCATTAAGGCACTCCTGAGGACATGAACCTGTAAGCAAGCATAGCAGCCTTTTAGTAGATACAGTATTTTGCAAATAAGCTGTGAGATCCCCATTAAATCTGTTTATTGTTAAATCACAAGCAGATATATTAGCTGAGAAAATTAACCAATAACAATCTCCATTTTTTAGCATTACTTAATTTTATCCTTTGTGTTCCTTGGTTAAAAGAGAAGCAAGGTTCTCTCTCTTTTGGTTTGAGACTTGTAAACTAACAAAGGAGCAAAAGGTCAACCTCCTCCCAGCAAACAAAAGGTCAAGTTCCCATGTAAAGAAATCAAATCCCAGTCCTGCTGATCTCAAAATATGCAGGACACAGATTATTCTAATTTACTAAATTCAGCATAATTTATACATATTTTCACCTCCTCCCTCCTAAGCATTACAGCAAAGGGTACATTCAATTTATGATTAGTCCATAATATATAATTTACAGAGTCAAAACCAGTCATAAACAACCTTCCCCACATGCTAAAAAAAAAAAGTCAGTTAAAAGTTTTTTTCTGCTTAAGAGGTGACTGGAGTCAGAGACTTTAGATTCCATGGGAATGGCTTGTCTTATGTTATAATTAGTAATTCTTTCCAAAAGTAGTTACATTAAAGGGTTTTATAGTGTGTTTGAAAGCTAAGACCTCCCTGTCATTTACTAATCATCGTTGAGGGAGGTCTAAATCATAATTCTCCAAAAGTGGGGAAGAAAAGTAGTCCCAAAGCAAAACTTCTTCAGGTTTTGTAGATAGTTGTTTTTGTCCTTGGAGAAGGATTAAAACCCTACATACAAAAGCTTTCAGTGTTGCTGATGGAGATTAAAAAAGCACCGCACAAAGCAGGAAATAAACCTGCTAGTGACACTGAATGGGAACAAAATGGGACCTTTACATTAAAGGTACACAGAAGCTACCAACTATTATGAACATCATCCTTCATTGTGAAAATTCCTTTGCATGCTTAGCTTTGAATTTTTTCCACACAGTTATTGTAAAAATACTGACAAAGCAGAAAATATTGCTTCTAGAACAGCACTAATGTGGAAAAGTTCTTTGCTATTGTTAGAATTGTGAGTTGCAAAATTGCATATATCCTTTTACATAGGAAATGCAACAGAAAGCACCTACACATGCATTTTACAGGAAGGATACCAAAATCCCAAACCAAGTGGAATACAATGAACTTTACTGTAAAACAACTTCTGTAACTTGGGCCTCCTTTACATGTTTGTACAATCCTTAAAACTCTCCAGGAGCAGATGCGTGTTCATTGCCTGAGCACTCCTGTCCCTTTGCACAACCAGTTACATGCCTCTCTGACATACCTACATCCTTTGCCAAGACCAGAAAAAAAGTGGCAGAAAAGAACAGAACTAAATTTTTAAAAAAAGACAACATCAAAGTATTGGCTTAGTTGGCTGTTCAGATTTGGTTGTAAGGTCTTATTTTGAAAGGACAATTTTACCAGGAATTTTTTTTTTAATTTAACATGGATAAAATGAGAAAATGAGACAGGGCGGGATTTTGTAGGGGACATAAAGAAGAGGGCTTCCACAGCCCATGGTAACACAGGGGAGCTGGTAAGAAGGCAGTATTTTTAGCACTCTCTCCTCCCAAGTGTGAGGAGCACAGCACTCACCTCCTGGTGGACTCTGCATCTGGGCCCCATGAAGGTGCGACCAAGAGGCAGCTTGAACCTGTCAGAGAAATGTGAAAGCAAAATCAGGGTGTTTGTGGTTTACAAATGAGCTGATAAGAGCCTGAGGCCTTCACCCAAACACTGGGTTGGGACTTTTAATACAAAACATCAGTTTGCATCTCAGCCAGCAAGGTGGAGTTGTGGGTGCTGCAGGAGGGATTGGCAGGCTGGGGAGGAGAAGCACAGGTTTTGAGGGGATGGGAAAAGGACACAGATGTGCTGTGAGATCACTGCTTACTTTTCCTCATGCCCTCCAATTCCAGTGAACCACTGAGGCTCCACCTGGGAAGTTTTGCATTTCCATTTAGAAGTAAAAGTGAAGGGACAGAGAACAATCTGCTGCATTCACTTCAGTCAAATACCCATAGCTGGGAAGCTTGAAGATGTGACATCCCTCTATATCATCCTCTCCCCTGACTCATGCTCTGTGCTGCACCCTGATCATCCCACTGTGGCCACTCTAGCTGCAATGGATTTCATGTCCTCCTTGAGGTCCTTCAGAATTGCGTTTTGGTTCATCCCAAACAAAAGAGAAAGTGGATCTGCCTGAGCTGCTTCCTTTTTGGGAATATTAGGAGCATCAGACTATGAGGAAGCCCTGGGTCTGACCCAGCACTCTGCTACTGCAGCTTGTCACGTCACATTGTTCCTTCCAAGAACTGATCCCATTCCAGGCTGAAAGTACTCTGGGGCTTTTTCCCCCAACTAGTCTGACTGAAAAGTTTAGCAGGGTGAAGTGCTCAGTGGTTACATATTTCCCACTTACATTTATTCATGGCCAGTTTAAATCCCTTCTTTTACAAATCTGGGCCCTTTAGCTTAAACAGTTACTCTTCCCTCTGTTTTTTATTTATTTCCTATTTGATACTCTGTGAGAAAAAGTTACCCTTCTGTGCTCCCCACAGACATAGGCACTAGCCTTTGGCTGCACAACTAAGTACAAAATTTGTTTTAGTCTTTGCTTGCAAGCTTTTTTTTCTTCCCTCTTGATACCAGTCATTCTCCATGTCTGGAGCTTGAACTGATGGATCTGAAAGTGAATGGCACCATGAAAGGAACATGCTAGGTTAAATCTTGCTCATTGCCTCTTACAGACATAAAGACTTCACTTTTCCAAATGGAAATGTTTTGTGGAATGCATCTAAGTAGCATGATCTGCCTAAAATCAACCTGAAATGGATTTCATAGAATCACCACCTGGAAGATCCCCACACCAAAATTATTCCTGGTTACCACGGCCCACTGATAGCTGGAGAGGGTCCCTTCCCTCCCTGCACAAGACCTGATAGCTACTCCAAACTGCCCTCCTCAGGAAGGTGGCTTTTGGCCTACGTGTTATTTTGGGGCCGTAAAGTGTCCTTGGTGCAACAGCACATCCACACTGAGGCCCCCTCCAAGGACACCACCAGTCCACTTCTCTCAGAGGCTTGGTTCATTTTAGCACAGCATTTCACACCTGCTGCCTTCTGACTCAGTCAGGGGCACATAGATCTCAAAGGGACTTGGAGAAAATCAGCCCTGGTTTGGCTGCAGGCTCCTTGCAAAAACCCTGAGGAGACACAGTCTCCAGCTTCCTGCCTACCCCCATCAAACGGGGTTATAACCCTTGGCTGGGCTCCATAACCCAGGTATGTACCAGTGGGGGAACGAGATTTCTCTGTTTACTATTAAATTTCAGTGCAGCATTGCCAGGATGCAACACTGAGGCAGTGGGGGCCGAGGCGATAGGAACCAGGGCTGCGCTGGAGCCACCATTGCACCACATGCATGGGGAACCTCGCCAGCGGTGCCGCCACTGCGCCTCTCACCAAACACGAACAGCTTCCCAGGACATTCTGTTCACCCTTACAAAAGACAGAGAGAGACATGGCAGGTTTATTTCCCGTGGTGTGCGTCAGTCAGCTCATCAGGGAAGGTCGCCCACTGGGTGCTCTGCTGAGAGTGAATGAAGGCATGAGGCCCCGGGTCAGTCGGGTCTGAGCAGAGGGGGACTAGCTGCTGTTCCTCACTGTCCTCTTGTTACCGCAGCCTTTCTCCCCACAAAGGCTCATTTGTAAGGATGGCAAAGGCCCAGGGCAGAAAAAGGGAGGAGGGTTTTCCCTCCCTCCCACTTTTGGAGGTATAACCTACCTCAGCTGTTACAAGATCTCTTTTCTGTCGAGTTGCATTAAACTCATTTCTGAAAGAAAACAAAAAGGAACTTGTATTATCAAAGGTCCCTGGAGCAACCTGAATAAGCAACTCCCTTGAGAGGTGTTTCTCTCTGATTACCATAACTTTATCAAAGAGGTCTTTCTTGGGTTAACATTTACAAAGGTGATTTTTTTTTTCCTTTTTTTTTGTCACTGTCTCATTTTACAGAATTGGGCAGCACTCTGATCTCTGCTTGAACAGGGAGGAACTTGGAGCTTGCAGGGAAACGTAAACAGGCAAAACAGGCTTACACAACAGGATACAAAATTGTAAAGCTGCTTCATATTTACTTGATGCTACGTGTGAGTGGCTGTAAGTTCCCCTAAGTGTTTCTTGATTATACTGTGATGGTACTTGTAACAGCAAGATATGACTCTCCAGCTGGAGCCAACTTAAATTTGTAATTAAGTTTCAAAACGAGGGCATCAAACTATGAAACACACTTGGTTCTATCAACACTCCAACATGGCATACCATTTGACGTGCATGTGTGTTCGCCAGATGTATTAGATGTCATTAGACATTTGAAGCTACGTCCAGCTGGATGCTTCCATTGAAATGGATGGCATAGTTCCCATTTAATTCAATGGGATCAGGAACATTCCCTAGTTTGGGTTTTGTTTGGATTTCAGCTTCTACATGAAGATTTGTATTGAAAATGTTTATTTTAAGGTTGTACAGCACTTACTTCTCTCTGCTTCAAATAGCAGCTAGGATTTTATCATGCAATTAAGAATGTAGAAGGATACTCATTTAATGTATTTTTCCAGTCATGAAATCATGATCTCATGCTGGTTTCATTCCATTATTCCTCTAAGCATTCTCAAGACCATAGAAGTATCATTTTTCATATGGAACTCCATTTTTCAAACAGAGGACCCATGCCCATTATGTAAATACTTTGAAAAGAGTTGTAAACATTCTGCAAGTGTGTTCTACATCCAACCTACATGAAGGTGACATTTTACATGTTGAATTCAAGGCTATATTTTACTTTCTAACTTGCACAGTGTCACACTCATTCTTTTAGTAGGACTTGACAAATAAGGAATAAAACCTTACCTCAAAGTTCTTCTCAAAGGAGAAAGCTTGCAATAAGATCCTGCAGATTAAAAAGTCATCAAGTTAAACATTTTTTTCCTACAGCATCACTCCGCCCTTGGCAAGCAATGTCAAGTTTAAAACAACACTACTGAATTTTGGTTTTCAATGATCCTGAGTTTTCCAGAGCATCTTTGCACAAAATTTTTCTGTTTCGAAGGAATGTAGCATTCCATGCTTTCCTTCCTGAGGACTTGATTCTCTCAAGCTTTATTCACCTGCAAGTTTTCATGGTCTCAGTTCTGGTACATGCTCCCATGAAAGAGAGAAAACAGTTCATAGTTCTGCAGAGGCTCATAACAAAACTGATAAAATACAAGAGGTGCTCAGAGCTTTCCAGAAGCCAACTTCAAGGGTTATAATAATTTTCTGAGTGTTACTTGTAAGATTCAATTGTAAATAATTTTAAATTAGTCCATGCTTCAAACAAGGAAAAAAATAAACAAACAAAACCAAACACACAAAACAACAAAACAATTTCTCATTGCCTTAGAAATCTTTATAACTGCTGCAGGAAAACTATCCACAAGATTCAGTTGCACTGCATAGAAAATAACATCATTTCTGTAACTAGAAGAGCAATTATTTACCCTATCAGTCAAAAAATTTTAAACAAACTGCAGGTGCAGTCTGTTCAGACAAAATCATAAATCACACCCCACTGAAAATGCTTACTTATTTGACAAAAATAGCAAGAAAGACAAGAAGCTTAGGTTTTGTTCATAAGTAATTGTTTTGCAACAAATTCAGACATATAAAAATGTGTCTTAAAAAAAAAGTTATATTTTAGTTTCTACACCTGTGAGAGAGAATGGTGATACGATACAGGTTTGTTTAATTTGCATTTATAAGCTCCAGCAAGGTCAAAAAATATAATTACAGAAAAATATTTAGAGAAATCTTTGTAAAAGTTAAAAGAAATGGAATAAAATTCTTACCTTGCAAAGAGGACAGCAGTGAATGAAACAAGAATATACTCCACGGTATCATTAAACTGAGCTTTCCTACAATGTTCATTTCAGTATAAGTTAGGAATAGGGAATTTATCCAAATTAATGGCTTTGATTACATGGCATCTTAGAATTATGTATTTCTACAGTGTGTTTATATCCTTTAAAAATTAATTGGATGCATTATTTAAAACAATGCAATGCAAAAAAGGAAAATAAAAGGAGACATCAAGCTTGGTAGCTACATACAGCTTCAGGAGCTTTGCGAGTGTTGCATACAACTTCCTGGCTGCATGTCTCTCATTAGTAATGCATGGTAACTCCTCAGCAGGGTCTGTATTAGTTACACTTGCACCAGACCTGCAAGTATTACTCCTCTGTTCGATTGAATCGGCCCTTTATAACATAGCAGACAATGACACAGAAATGTTGCCATGTCATGGTGGTTTGAGAGATCTGTCAGTCGTCACATGCCTTTGTGTGCTTTGAGGCTTGAGCTGAGTGCTGCTCTTTACCGCTTAGTATAGCAAAATATCTTTGCAAGACCCTGAAATGATACTACCGTATAAACTGTAACCAGATGGTTTTAGAGATTAACATATTAATGTTTCTTATCTGTCCTCAAAGGGGAGAGATGAACTTCTATTAAATAATACACTTGGATCTTTAAGAATATTTTAGATGCATTTCTGTGTATAGTTTGTTTTGATCATAAATGAAGCCTTCTCAGAGGATAATTAAATTTAATTTTTAATAAAACTTGTTATTAAAATTTTGTATTAGAAAAAAGAAGAAAGAAGTCAACAGGGCCAATGGGTTTACTTTCTGATTTTCATTAAAATATAAAAATATAATTTCACCAAAATTAAAAATTATGTTTTAAAATTACTCTTATCTGCTTTACCATAATTTTAAATTTTAAAAATAAATACCGATTTACTGTAAACAGAATCATTAAAAAGTACAGTTTCAAAGACACGTATAATACTACTTGAAACCACTACAGCTTATTTTATTTTGCAAAGCCTGTCTTTTGCCTAGCCCTCTGCTCTTCCTAGGATGTGCTTTGTGAGACCCTCTAAGCATGGTACAAAAGATGGGTTTGGACCCTAATAAAATTTAGAAATTGATGGCCTCTCTCAGGCAAAACATTCTCCATCATTTTTCGAGATTTTTCTCTTTTCTGCTCCCCAGCTGGACAAAAAGAGAAGGCAAATGAAAACACTCAGCCTCTCCAACCACAGACAAGGACAAAACCCTGTATCCACATAGCAGCCAAGAGTACCTGTGCAAATTTGGGATCACTGGTGGCACAAGGATACTTATTGCAAACTGTTGGATCTGAGAAGCTGACATTCCAATAATTGCATTTCCAGAAGTTTTTTTGCTTTGTTTTTACTTTTGACTGGCTATGGCCTGGTCCCATGGATTGGTTGCTTGTGTGCAGCCAGACTGTACCTCCCAGCTTTGTTGCATCTGCCCCATATGGTCCAAAACCACTCCAGACTGCAAACAGAAGCAAAAGAAGTGAGTTCCTAAGCCAAACTGACTTATTGATATAGTCACTCTTTTAACTCTTACGTGAGAACTTACAGGAAATATACTTTCACTGAAGGTTGCTCTCAAGATGAGATGAAACCAAGCCTTTGATCTTCAAATTTCCATTACCAATCTCCATGTTACCTTACTGTCAAGACTGGTTTAGACTCTGTTCCAAGATTTTCTGGGATTCCTCCCTTCCTCAAGACTGTATTTCCCATCATGCTTCCTATGCAGTTTCACAAATAAAACTTTCCATTAACGTAACAATAGAAATGAACTATTTTGGTTTAACAGAAACTATCCAAAATAGATTTGTTTTCATTTTTTCTACAGCAAAGTTGAGTGAATATTTGGTTAGTATTTCACAGTTGCTTAAATTCTAATATTTAAAAAGTGGTCCAAGCCTCATCAGCTGCAAAGGAAATTTTTAAGAGTTAGAACAATAGGCTTCATTAGGTTTGGACATCTGTGCCCAAGGCAGGGTAGGAAAAAGCACAGTCCCAAACACATTAAGGATGTCAGCTAAGGAGAAAGAATTATTCAGCCAAGTACACTGAACTGTAATTCAGAGGACTATATTAAGAAAGAGATAAAAAACCCTGAATCAAATTGTATCAAGGCAACAACACAGATTATCTACACAAGTATTAGAATACTCACAGATTGGCACTTCTGAAAAATTTGAACACAAAAAAGGTACTAGAAAATGATCACTTCTGTAAGAAAACAAGTACAATACAAAACACACTTGTCCACACTTTAAAAATTCTAGTGTTACATTTTTAAGTTACAGATTTCTCTTTTAAAATAACATTTAAACGTTTCAATGATTATATATTTGTATATTACACACAACATTAATTTTCTCCAAATTTTCCAGCATGGCATTTGAGAGGACCTAAATTTCTACACAGGTCACACTGTTTATTAGGATTATAACCAACAGATGAAAAAATAACTGCCTTCTGTGCCATAGGCATAAGCTTGCCCTGGTTTGGAAGTGGATCCACTGCCATTAACAAAACTTGGTATTTTCAATGAAGAATTCAAATGAGGCCACATTTTGTTGTGCACACCTTATCTTCCTAAGGATTAGCACTGGTGAAACTAATGAGAGAGCTGGATGATACAAGGTTAGGGACGTTCCTTTTTTTCCCAAGAACCACATCCACAGCTGCTCAAGATCATCACCAAGGGCTTGAAGATCAGTCAGGTTTCCTCCTTACACCTTCAAACTTCACAGTGGTTCCGTTTCCCCAATGAAGTTAAGCCCTCTAGTGGGTGATCAGTAAGAAACCTCTTAGAACAAAAATCTTCAGATACCCAGGCAGACACCAGCCAATTCCACAAACATTTCTCATTTAGAAAGCAAGTGTACAGGAATGACATAACTCTACGGGATTAACAGGGCATTTTTATGGGATCAGAGTTCAGTTCAGAAAGCATTTGTATTATGCTAAGAGTCTTCTGGTTGAAGAAAAGACATGCAGATATTATCTCTGGATATATTAGCAGCAATGCAAGTTTTATTTTCAGCCTTTTTTTAAAAAGAACATCAAAACCAAAATCCACAATTGTTACAAGCTGTTCTGTGGACAGAAAAATGGATCCATCAGGCTTCTTCATAACTGTGAAATCCACCCTGAAGGTTACTGGCATCATGTATTGCATTTCCCCCTGCCTCCCTGATTTTCACACACTGCAACTTTGCATCATGTCTTTTCTCCTCCAACCCACTATTATAACAGCTAGGCAAGAATCAGTTTTGGACTAGCCTGATGTGCCAACTGGCAGGCCAGTACACATTTCCTAAGCAATGAGTGAACTGCTGCTTTTCAGTCACCACACGAGCCAAACAACTAAAAGGCTTATTTTTCCTCAGCTGAAGCTAATTACCATCTATCAAGACGCCAGTTTTCACAAAACTCATAGGAATTCAAGCAGTCAAATTCAAAGTTAGGTCTGCATAGCATCTTTTCCTTGCAAAGCCAGGCTAGGAAGCCTGAGCATTTGCAGTTTTCAGCAGCCCAAGAGCTTAGACTGCAGAAAGGGAGGACTGAGAAAAGTAGACCATGCATCTTGCCAGAGACAGCTAGAGTATGGAATAGAGTATCTCATTCACTTAGTGTAAAACCAAAAAATTCTTGTATGTGATAGAACATACAACAGTCCCCTCCACTTCAATACAAGCATTCTACTTCTATTCGGGTCATGGAATGCAGTTATTTTGTCGCAGACACTGACAGCTAAAATGGGAGATGGATGGAGAATTCCTTTTCTGAAGGCCTTTGTTTCAGTTACATTTAACTCTTTACACTTCATTGAGGATGCCTTTAATACTTTCTACCAAAAAGCAGACATCATGAGAAATGCTAACATCTATAAAAAGCCACAAGCACCTGTTTTCCCAAACTAGAGCAAAAGGGCAGAATTTTACCATTCTTTCCACTTCCCCAGCCCAACCCATAAAGGAAAATGGTTTAACTTTGTGTTGACTTGAGTACCCTGAAATAACCTCCAATTAAGTAAATGAGAGAAGAAATACCATGCTGATAAAGCCCAATCAAAATAAATCTCAAGTAACAAAGTGTCCCTATGACAATTTCAGTATTGGCATGAAAGTGCACAAGACACCCAAATACCAGGCTTGGAGAGCAATGCAGTAGTCAGCCTCTCAGTGTCTTAGTTTCCAGTCTTTTTTCCAGTTCCTCTCCAAACTGGTTTTCAAACAGGAAACAGCTCAAGGGTGCGGCCATACCTGCTGGGTCAGCTCAGGAGTGAGCTCCATTATGTGCAACTCTTCCAAAAGACAGTGACCCTTTTCAACAGCCTCTTGTTGCATATACCACATCTACTCAAAAGTCTATGCTTTTTCGTCCCTGGATCAATGGAAGTGAAACTGGAACTTCTCCAACATTAAATACACACATCCTCCACCTAGATTTTTGAAAATTATGGTCATATTTTCAACTCCACTTCCCTCCCCTTCTTCCTCTTAAGGCCTTCAAATTGCCTGACCTAACTCATAGCATAAGCAGTTTTCTGACTCCCAAAGGGATTTCCTTTTTTTAGTAAAAATATTTAACCTTCATCACTGGGTCTACATCCCTGCACTTGTACCATGTAAACATGTGGTTGAAGGATTAATCATTCAGACCCCATCTCACAACACAAAATTCTTGTCTTACATTTACAAAAGACAACCTTTTAACTGAATACATGGGGCTTGTTATTTTAAGTTTCTTACATTTAGACGTACTAAGCTAGAAAACTCCATCTTCGTAGGATCTGGTAATGCAAGAGTTCAACAGACCTCCATCCCCTGCCCATGCTAATTACTTTGGGTTTGACACTGTTAACTGAACAAAGATCAAGACTGAACTCTGTTTAGTGAGCCACTATGTTGTTGCATGTACCCATAAAACCTAGACTGTGAGCCCTTATGTTCTGATAACCACACACTGATCAACAGGAGCAAAGTTTTTTTTATTCCCAATAA